CCCCAAAACCCCAAAACCCCAAAACCCCAAAACCCCAAAACCCCAAATTAATCCAGCCAGATTGAATAGAAATTACGAAGACTATTAATTCAGGATTTTATGGGTTCTATTGTGTCAAAGAGGAGGTAGGTTAAAGCCTTAGCCTATTACAGTTGTCCTTCCTCGGTTTTGGAGAGTGATGATGATGTTGTTAAAGTTAGGATCTTTCTTGATGGATCTGATATCTTTTGGAGTAATCTTGCATTCAAGTAGTTGGATGCTTTGTAATGTAGAAACTCATGGGCAAAGAGATAAGCTGGTAAGAATAGATTTATAGGTTTGTGGATTAGTAAAAGAAACAAACGGATTTCCTCTTATATTTCGAAACTCGATATTGGTTAACTTTGAAATTCCAATAGGACGTCTTCATAGACTTCCTTCTAAAATGTATCAATCGGCAAGCAAAATTTTATCTACATGAGATCCAGATATAATAATTCTGAATATCTGTTTGAATGATAATTTAACATTGAATAATTTCAAGGCTCCTTGTTGTTTGGAAATCGATTTGATATAGTCATTAAAAATCCATGAGATTCCAAGATTAGATGAATAATCTCCATATACTTCCAAACTTATAATTTGGCAACTCTTCAAGACAGACTATGCATCGCTTTCCTGATCTGTTTCTTCGCAATATTACTGTAACTAAGCTCTATCATCACAGTCGCAAAAACAGGTTTCTTCACAAAAGGAGACAACTTACATCTTTTCATCACATTAATCCCAATCAAAGACTGTTCAAAGGGCACAAACCTACTTCAGCCTGCCTATCCTTGGCAATATCTCCAAAAACGCATCTTTTCAAGCCCTATTCCTCACCCTCTGGTCAAGTACATCAACCTCAAGCTCTACTTCTTTCACTCCAAAGACCCTCTGGTCCAAGCTCTCTTCCATTTATTCTTCAAATATTTCTAAAAAGTCCGGGGTTTTGGGGTTTTGGGGTTTTGGGGTTTTGGGG